ATATTCTCTTAACTTTTGAAGAATGTTCCATATAAGGTACACGAGATATTGAATTTTTTCACCTCTCATGATCACCGTACAAAACTGTTACGTCAGAAAAAAAACAATGGCAAATTAGCTACTGACATCATAGTAACAGCGGCCGCGACTACCATATAAAAATTTGGAAAAGCCGCTTTTTATTGTCATTATCGAACCGAGAATGCAAGAAAACCTATAGGAAGTTACTTTTAAAACCCCAAACCCAAGTTTAAAATACTGAAATTAAACTCCAACATACTTCATCTTTTCAGTTTAGTATCTTGTGAACCTTACATTCTTCAAAGTTTTAGAGAATACAGTTCATGTCTCACTCTTTAACAAAAATCCTGAGGGCTATACTGAAAAACGGGTTTTTCTCGGTTTCTGCATCAGCTATGAAGTCAGAAAAGACAGTTTTTAACATAACTTGATGACCTCTATAAAACTAAATTGGTTTTAAATGAAGCGGAAAAACTTTTGTAAAATATGGAATAGTTCAGGTGGATTTGTCCAATAGTCACAGTAATGACAGGTAGCGTATCACTATGAAATTACTTTCGGCTATATTTGAGTAACGGTTTAGGTTAACAAATTCAAACTTTGGCTAATATCAGTAAGCTTTTATGCAGAAATTATGGAGAGTATCAAAAACTATCGAAGCAGAACTGTTTAAAAGTTATATTTATAACCAATTCATAATGGAAAGAACAGGTAAGATGTACCGGACTGGTACCAAGCTGATTTTCACATATGCTGTGTAACTTTTTCTCTACAAAATGATAAAAATAACTTCGAAAAAAACCACTTCACAGACACGTCTAGAAGTTGATATAGACACGTGACATTGGTTTATAGCTCGAGAGTGAATACGGCCTGGGATGTTGCTGGATCGAACGGAAGGGACGCATGTTCATGCACAACCAGCCATCGACCATGTTGTCTCTTGTAGCCAACGGTTGCACGCATCCAGGTCTGCATTGCTGGATGGTCCTTTGACCTGCCAGTGAAGCGCCAGAGCCAGTGAGCAAATGCCAGATCCCCACTAACGTGGATCGTCAGGTCCCGAGTTTCCGCCTGGAAGGAGGCCGGGAAACAAGGCAAGCATGCTTCCCATGCTCGTCTCCATTCGGCTGCTCCTTTGGTCTGGAACGGGGGTTTTATATCGAACACAATGACATCATCGGCGTAGTTGGCCATCATTCGGTCGACGTCTTTGGCGCAAAAAGCACTTGTCCAATCGGCAATCAGTTGCCGAATCTGGGCTTCGTCGTTCTTTTCGGTTGCCATCGTTTATAACTGGTTTTAAGGGTGTAATCTAAAAGGATGATTGCGCCACGAGTAACTATTCTGATTCGTCAAACGGCTGTTCCAGAGGCAGCTGTTGATCCAAAGTGTTCAACAGAATGAACATGAGAGGAGAATTGAACAGAAAATCTATAGCTTACCTTACAAGCTTTCGACACAACCTCTACACGCAGAATTCTGTCAAAAAATTGATTCATTCTTCACTTTTGTCCGATGTCATCGCCGGATATGGCCAAACGCAAGCCACACAGATAAGCTGTCCAAAAACAGTTTTCTTCGATCGCTGAAAAATACCATGTTTCTTCAGTCAGTCTGCCGGACATATAAATAGGTAGTTACTATTTCTCAATAAACTATCCTCATTTCAGAATGGAATTGAATCTACTTGGACCTTTATGTATCAAGATGGTCAAAAAAATCCGAGAGACCCGTAGCATTATTTATTGGTCAAAAGAAGAGCAATTAGATTGGTTCATATTTTAATGTTGCTGTACTGGCCATTTGAAGGTTAAACCAAGGCATCCATACATTTCTATCCTTAAACGCTACAATCGCCGCAAAATTTCGAAACTTCACGTTGATAGTAGAGATTTATGGATAAATTGATGGATACCTTGGTTTGACTCCATTTGCATTGCCACTCTCTGTCATCATTGTGGTCGAATTCATAGCAACATACACTAAATGAAGACAGTAAATCCGCGAATTGCAAGATGCATAAAGGTATAAGTTGATAAACCATGTATTTGAAGGTCTCTTATTTTAATTGTTTATTAAGATTTAAACGACCAAACTTTTCCAACTAACGGGATCTTTTAAATTTAAAATTTTTCTCTCCTTGTACAGTAAATCCATATCTCGCATTCTAAAGCCACGTTCATACGACACTTTTTAACTTAGTTTAATCCAAATTCTAAACGAGTTCGAAATGACACCGTTCAGACGCTCCTGGGGATTGACCAATGTGAAAATACTGAAAATTACCTTCTCGAATAATTTGCGGGACGCTGTATGAGCTACAAATGCGGTTTGAATTGCATATGTGTATAAGTTATTTTACCATAACGCATGTATAGAGGATGTAGCTAATCACTGATCAATGTTTAGTGGGGGGGTCCTTAACCGAGTTGTATAAACTTGGTTAACTTAACCAAGTTGTCGTTTGAACGTGGCTTAAGCGTTTTTCAGATCAATGGTTGACAGACTGAATGTGTTCAACAAACAGAGATCGATGAGTTAGTTTTCTGAGGCAGAGAATATGAAAAAAAACATAAAGTGAAAATTCTCAAAAGCAAAGTGGAAAACAAAGTGGGATAAAGGAAAGAATTCCTTTACAGTTCTGTCACTGAAATTCTCTAAAACAACTCCTCAGTTCATGTACTCATGTTCTTTAGTTGAAAATGATTTAAAACATTCTTCTTTTGGTAAATGAATCCGAGTTTTTGTGAAAACATTAAATGAACGCTACACTAACTGCTACAAAGACAATAAAATTATTCCGGTCGCAGGAAACAGATTCAAGAAGACTTACTTGTAAAGAGACGGAAAAATACACTGTCCACAGACGAGGTAAAAAGTCTTCCAAGTCGACTGAAACAGACAATGTACGCGTTTGAAACGCTTTACTGGTTTGGTACGTATGTGGATGAGTTTCGAACGCGTAGAAAGCGTTCAAAACGTGTATATATATATATGCTTGTGTAAATAACCATGTATATATATATATATGTGAAAAAAAGTTTGAAGTGAACGAGTCAGATGCTTGAAATGGCATCTTATTACACTCGATACGACTGAATTTTTGAGTGTGTATACACACTATACAAAAATGTCTGACGTTTAACTATACGCGTAAATGTTTAAAGGCGCTCAAGGATCTTAAAACAAGACGTTTGCGTCTTGATAATCAACAGGTCTTTGTCAAAATAACATATTTTTATTCATTTTCTAATTGTTCATTGTGTCTGTTGATTTTTTTTTTGAACAGCTATCGTTTCTGTTCTTGTGTTGTGCTGAAAATTCTTTTGTGAAACAAAGAACTATATAGCTTGAATACTTTCTTTTTTCATCAATGAAAATTGATTTACATGCGAATTCTTAGAAATAGGAAGATAACGCAAGCGTTTAGAACGATAGTGGTCTAAATGGACTTCGAGAGAGAAAAGGAACGCATCCTTTGCTCTACATTATCTTGTATTGCACGCAAAAGCTGATTTCCGGATTCTTTTTTTTTAGATAAAGTTTTCATTTTGTTCCTTTCTTTTGAATTAAAGAATGAGAAATCAACTCACAGAGCTCATCTTATTATTAAAAGATTCCCATTCATTTCTCTACAAAATGGTATTCTAAGGTTTGAGGCGCTGTCTTAACTGAAAAAACATCGAAATGTCCGAAAAACTTAAAAACTTTAAATTTTTTCCGACGACAATTTTGAAGATGATTGAAAGAAGATAGCACATCATTTCTTAGGACGTTTAGATGTCCTCTTTCAGATGGCGCAAGACTCATTCATTCCCATCGGTCTGATGTGATAAAAACGACTAGTTAATAACTGACAACCTGAAGAAAATACGCTAGTTTCAGCTTCGTCATTACTCAAAAAAATTACATCAAGCGTTTCGCACGTGAGTCGAGTAGACCAAACATGTCTTAAAAATGACTAAAATGATTAAAAATGAATTCGCATTATAACTAATCGGTAGAGAATTTTGAGGGCTACATTTTGGCCTACTTGCTCTAGACACAACGCATACGTTCAACTTCTTACTGATGAAATACACTTTTTTGTGTTGAACTTTTTAAGTTTTTCGGGCATTTCGATGTTTGTTCAAGTAAGACAGACTCAAACTCTAGGATCATCTTCTATACACCATTTTGTAGAGAAATGAATGGGGAATCTTTTGGTAATAAGATGAGCTCTGTAAGTTCAAAGGGAGAAGAGAAAAACTGAAAATAAAAACTAAGCCATTCTTTCTGTAACACCCGTTAGTCAATTTTTGCGTCCTTTTTGCAATTTGCTTTCTTCGGTTATAACAAATCGTTGTCCGATGTTTAAGAAATTCTCTGTTACTATTTTTTGTACTATTTTTATCTGTCAGTGCTATCGACTTAGTTGATATTTGAAGTATGTGTTTACAACAAAATAATAAAAAGAATATTAGTACCGTTCTTCCTTTGCTCATGTGGCTCTTCTTTGCAAAGGAAAATATTCTCGCGTAATTTTCTGGAATTTTTCTACTGTAGAGTTTTTATGGACATAAATCAACGAAGTTTTGCGGCCAAATCACAGTTCCATCTACTTCTAGTAATCGTAAGATATGACGTGCTGTTAAATTTTGCTTATTATTTGTTGAATTCTCCTATTATTTGAGCTAGATTCTGCTCGCCTTTCTTCGTTAGGCCACTCAACAAGGTATCTTCAAAAATTATGCCGGTGTGGTTCATGAGCTATAAGAATAACTGTCCCTTTTTTTACCACGTTCATTACTTCTAAAGGTCGTTCTCGTATTATTTCACTTGTGTTTCAGCTATAATATCATCGTCGTACATGATCGGCCTCAATTGTAGCAAAACTTTTAGATTTAACACAAACTTTTTCTTTCTCTTTAGATACCCAACCATTGTACCATTACGATGCTGATCTGTAAAAGAATGATTTGTACGATGATCTACATATGTACAGCCGAACTCAAGATTATAATTCAGCAAAAAAGAGATCAACTGACGAAGATTTTAAAAACGAAGAAAATGAAGATAATTTTACAAAGCGACAACAACATCCATCGAATTCAGTGGCAAAATCGAAAACTCTGCGAGCAGCGGAAAACCGAAAAACCAACGCAAAAATGAATGAAACATCAACAGTCATGAATTTAGTATTATCGTTGAAACAAAAAATGGATGATTTTATCGCCAAACAAAATGAACAAACTAGCTTGATAAAAAATATGGAAAAGATGATGAAACAACTGACACATATTACAAGATTTGTAAGTCTATTTAGTTATTTGTGACTTATGCCATTGTGTGCTTTAATTTACAATTTACCAGAAACAGTGCCGCAGAAAACTCGACGAACAATTGCAAGAAAACTACTCTAACAATTCATAAATGTTTGTACTTCTCTTTTTCTTTTGTTATAGTAAAATCTAACACAGTGTGTGATTCCACTAAACCACCCACGAAAATTATTATGTACTTATGTTAGAAAATTTTATTCAATGTCCGAAATCCAAAACAGATTTCCGATGATGAACGATTAAGCACGATCAAAGGTAGGGAAGTATGAAGTCTAAAAAATTGAAATATGAATGTTTTTAATTTTCAATTGTAGAAGCAATTCAAGTGTGCTTTTTCAATGACGATGCGCAAAGATCTGATGTATTTTGGGCGCAAGAAGGTAGAAAGTGTATAAATGATCAACGTCGAGGTGAGAATTTTCGTCAGTCAAGAAGGGCGAGGTAACTTGATACTATTCAGATTCAACACGTATGCTCTACTCTCATATTTTAATTAATTTGTAGAAATACAGCTGAAGCAGTACATAATCAACAATAATAATGAACAAAAAAAGTACTAATGATAAAGGATACCGTATGGGTTTCAGAAATACATAAACTTCATCATTTTTGTATTTTGTTGTTAAAAGTACAGAAAAATTTGTAAATCTTCAAGTTGTATTTGCAGACCGCGTTTCGTTCTCATTTCTATTTTTTGGTTTTTGATGTTTGCCGTGTTTACGTCTACAAACGACTTTATTGATATCAGCTAATGAAATGGAATGAAAATGTCAGCGAAATAAATAACTAACCGAATAAAGAAATTGGCTTTTATTCGTATAAGTAACGAAAGCAGTAACAACAGCACTTCGTAATTGAATCGCAACTACATAGCAATATGTCTGCCACTCACCTGTGTAAGCAATTTTTTCATTATTTTTATTAAGTATAGTGTGAGAGGACTAGATGCGTGCAGGCCCAACTGCATGTCGATTTTCACAGGTGCTCTGATTGCGCCATAAAATCTATGAATTTCTTCATACAGAAGTGTTTCTAATGAGAATTCTAAACAAAGTGATTTTTCACAGTTAACCACTGCATTTTACATGTTTTCTCGGGTAAAAACCGAGTGGAAATCATATCATCTCGTATCTAGTCTTCGGACACTATGGCTAGCAAAATAATGAAAACTTGCCCACACAGCTGAGTGACAGTAGCATTGCTAAGAACATGGTAATTGATCAGGTGGTTGGTTCACGCATGTTTAATGAACGCTTAAAAAGAAGCCTCTTTCATGAAGGTGTTTCACACGTACTGTTAGTAGTCGGACATTGTTAGGGACAGATATTTAAATATCATTGGTTCCCTGGCATCTATTGGAGATTGAGGTTGAAGCAACTTCGAAATGAAACGAGATAGGCCACTGAATGCTAAGAGTTTGTCAAAAGAAAGATGAATAACAGCACTATTTTTAGGCTGGGAGTGGAATTTATTTATCCTTCGCTGTCTAAACTAAATAAACAGAAAATTAATGCTTTGAGTCATCAGAAACATGTAGTGGCGGCGCCAGGATTTTTCGGATGCCTGGGCTCAGCCCATAATTTTTCAAAAATCCGTTCAGAATTTTTACGTGACCATTGCTAGTGAGTACTTTGTTTTCAAATTTTGGGGTGGTTGGGCTCAGCCCACCCTAGCCCTGTCCTGGCGCCGCCACTAGAAACATGCATTGTACTGCTCTTAAAGCTCAAAACTATTGATGTTACATTTTCTGTTTTAGAAGTTTTTGTTTATGTTTTACGCGTTTTTGTGCTTTAGTTAAAATGCTATAGGAGTTATCAAAATACTGCTCAATCTTTCCCTATATCTTATTTAATATCCCACATTGAAATTGTAGCGCTTGTAATGTAACATCGTACAGAATCCATGACCGATTCGTCAAATAACGGGCTCGATTGGGTGTCATCCAGTAATCCACATGATGAATATGAATTGATACAAAGAGTTGGTAGCGGTACTTATGGAGATGTTTATAAGGTAAATAATTTAGGCATTTTAAAAGTAATATGAATATTCTTCTTTATTACTCCTTTAGGCACGTCACATGCCAAGTGCGTCACTTCGTGCACTTAAAGTTATTAAACTAGAAGCTGGTGAGTGTTGATCGGCTTACATTTTTTTCTTTTTATATAAGTTCTGTGTCTTTGTTTTATAGGAGATGATTTTAACATTATTCAACAAGAAATATTAATGATGAGACAATGTACACACCCGAATATAATTGCTTATTTTGGAAGTTATTTAAAGTATGTCGCTAACATGGCTCTATTAGCATCTACTAGTAGGAAAACAACATGACAACACTAATTTTTTTCTGTAGACGAGACAAACTATGGATTGCAATGGAGTTTTGTGGCGGTGGTAGTATGCAAGATATTTATCACAGTAAGCTTAATTGTTGATATTTGTAATCTAAAATAAATCTTGATTTAAAATCATTTTTTTTGTTATTTTTCAGTAAATGGTCCATTAGTTGAATTACAAATTGCTTACATTATACGTGAAACCCTTAAGGGCCTTGATTATCTTCACAAACATGGAAAAATGCATCGAGACGTTAAAGTATGTAGAGATTTTGTTTCAATGTACTGCTATGATTATAAATATGATAATAACTCATTATATTGTGAACGTGTGGTTAGGCATACACCAATACCAATCATTATTGAAGATATTGTACAATATTATTGGCTATCCAATAATATTGGGCCCCAATATTATTGTATACCTAACATATTGGAACCAATAATATTGGTCACTCAGTAATATTGTACAAGAATATTGGGTAGTATTTGGTTCCACAATACCCTGGATTCCAACTTTTTAACCTTAATATCAATTACCTTCATAAAAACGTGAGGAAGTATATCCCGATCGGGATTAGGTATGCACCAGTTAAAGTTAGGGCATCCAGAAACGTCGTTCCGAATCAGTTATAAAAAAAGCACTTAGAGCTGCCGAATGTCTCATTTTGTAGAAAAATGTTGCTCTATCAAACTTAAGTGCAATGTCCAAACTGAAGACATTTTAGTGTTATCTGCGACAGAAATATAAACATCCAAAACTGAGCAAAATTGCGAAAAAAGCGACTGTCGATTATTTTTCTATGATTATAGTGGGTTTTCGATTTATTGTTTCTGCCCTATATATAACATTAAAATTTTTGTAGCACTTCAGTTTGGTAGAGCAAACATTTTCTTACAAAATGAGGCGTTAGTTAGCTCTAAGAGCTTTTTTATAACTGATTTGGAACGACTTTGCTGAATGCCTTAATATTGATTATTAATCGGTGCATGCCTAATTGGGTTATTTTTTGATTCAAAACGGAATATAAAGCATGCTTCTGTACTATAACAGTAGGCCGAACTCAAGTGACCCAATACCCAACAATATTGTGAAAACCCAATATATTGGGTGACCAATATTATTGATCCCAATAGATTGGATGACCAATAATTATTGGTCCGAATACATTAGGTAACCAATATTATTGTATTGGTGCATGCCTACGTGTGATGAATGAAAGAAATAGTCATCTACCTTATATTCAAACCAATGAAATCTTATAAAGGCAACTCGTTCCTTTCTATGTTCAGTATTACGTTTGGAAATAGATTACGATTTGTTTTTATGTTGCCTTCAATGCGTCTTTCTGCTTCAAAAAAACTAGACATGTTTTTTTTCCATACGAAGTCGAGTAGATTGATTCTTGATACACGAATGAGATACACTAATCTATTTGTAATCTATATATGCTTTTTTTGAAGGGTGCTAACATTTTATTAACGGACGATGGCCATGTTAAACTCGGTAACAATACCACTAAAATAAGTTTTATTTCACCTAATACCTTTCTTTTACTTTTAGCCGATTTTGGTGTGGCTGCATCAATAACGGCAACATTATGTAAAAGAAAATCATTTATCGGTACCCCATATTGGTAAGTAACAATTTTTACCTGATAGGTTTTTCAGAATCCTTCCTTTATAGTAGATAAATCACTTCAGTAATTCAGTAGTATGATGATAATAAAAGTTTAGCTACTGTCATCAGATTAGCAAGGGCTAAACATTTTTAACGAATTTGGAAATTTATAACTGTTTTTCTATATTTTAGGATGGCTCCGGAAGTGGCAGCCGTAGAAAGAAAAGGTGGCTATAATCATTTGTGTGATATATGGGCAGTAGGAATAACAGCCATAGAATTTGCCGAATTACAGCCACCAATGTTTGATTTACATCCGATGCGTGCATTATTTTTAATGTCAAAAAGTGGCTTTAAACCACCTTTGTTAAAAGATAAAACTAAATGGTCCATAACTTTTCAAAATTTTGTCAAATATGCATTAACAAAAAATCCGAAAAAACGACCAGCCGCTGATAGATTACTTGACGTAAGAAATATTCACTCGAATCGCATATATGCTATTTCTATTAACTTTTAATATCTTCAAGACAAACCCCTCCAAATAATATAATTTTTTTATCGAAAATATGATATTTAGACACTAATATATGCTTTCTTTTGCTTTAAAAGGTCGAAACAGCTGTTTTTTTTGCGATACAGTGTAATGAAGTGTCAGTCATTTCGTGAGAGCAAGTGAATCTTAGATAGGTGAATGCTCGACATGATATAATAAGGTCATTTAATTCTATATATGTATTTCTTTTACATTTCTCTTATTTATAATACCGTGATCTATAATGCATTGAACTGTTAGTGTTCATTGCACGATTATATTTGATGGGATCCTGCCATTATACTGTATTGCTACTATTCGCTCAAATTTTAGCGGAAACTGACTCACTTGAAAATCATAGAATATATAGATAGTTTCATTTTTTTCCTCTTCATCTATTTTCAGCATCCGTTTGTTCAAGGCAATCTTTCAGCTCAAATTGCACGCGATTTACTTGATCGTGTTAGAAATGGTACAAATAATTGCTACCAAGAGCGAGACGACGATGAAGATGATAGAGTATGTGAATTTCTTTTCGTTCTTTTCTTCAATGAATAATGTATACATCAAAAGGTTACTATGTTTGAAATTGATACATATTTAAAGATTGTCTTTTTTCTAAAAAGAAGACAATGAAAGAGAATCGAATAAAAAGAAAAAAGTTAAAATTTTTGTTCATGACATTTTAGAGTAATCGTCATGCGCCAAGAAAAATAACATCAAACAAAGAATCGTCATCATCATCAAGTGGGTACAAGAGAGATTTTTGTGACACGTTTTTATACGTTCATTTTATTCTTTTCGTGAATTCAGATCATCGTCCAATGCCGAACTATAACCCACCTCTCATTCGAAGTTCTATTTTAAATGAACAACCTTCTCCACCTTCACCTCTTCAATCATCATCAGCAACAACAACAAATGGAAACCAGACGGTATGGTACACATCTGTAAGTGGATTGCTTAATGTTTTTATTTGATTATGATAGATCTCAGAGCTTAACGATTAGTTGTGAATGATAGTTTGCAATACTTGTGATGGCCATACAAAATCCATAAATCTACTCGCTTCAGGTTCATTTAACCAACGTTGCGACTATGTTGTTTGATAAAAGATGATGTCTAACTAAACAGGCTCTATCGAATCGATTGTGAACATGAAAGATATTTGAATAACTAGTATCTTTGACGTTTATATTTCAGCGTGGATCGTTGACAGTCGAAGACAAGTATGTAGTTGTATTTTTCACAATTTTTTTGTGGTTGAAAGTCAAAGTTGTGTATTAGTATTTTAAAAAAAATATGTTTTATATCATATAGAGGTCTGTTGGACACGATCGTCGACGAATTGTCACGACGGTATTGAAATAATGTAGTAACATTAAATAAAAACTTATCGTTTATTGATTTTCTTGTCAAGAAAAGATGGTAGTGGTTAATAACGTAGAACGTAACTCCATAAGAAATTTAATCTTTAGATAAATAGAAGTAGAATCCTTAACATAAGTTTCGATTATTGAATATGCTCTTGTAAAAGAAAAATACAAGAATGTCTGACCAGCATTACCTCGCTCTTGGTATACGTACTTACTGCCTATACAAATAGATGCAAAAAAGACATCATGTTGATTAATAGGAAAGGATTAGGATGCATGTATTATTGATAGAAATATACTAATTCATCTCTGTTGAAGAATAATATTTTCCTTTTTACAAATAAAATTTTCGCATTTCTGCAGCTCATCATATAAAGAATTTTGGTGATCCGTCTCTAGTTCGCAAAGCTGTAGATTATTGATGTCATTTATTTTACATGCATGAAAAACATAGAATGATAATATGTTAGCTTATTGTAAGACGGATATTTTAACTATTTGCAATCTGAAATGTATAACATCAACATCGTTTTTCAATTAATTGAACTCTATTTATTGTGACTATTATTCTTTTTAGCGGCCATACTCCAAAGAAAAAAGAGAAGAAGTAAGTCAAACTTTTTCTTCACATTACCATGCTCTATGTATCGATGGCTTTTTATATTTAGTGGTGATTCTACCCATATTCAACGTCTTAGATCATTGGGTTTACCTGACAACGATATTGAAGTATATACGATAGGAATATAATAAAGCCATATTAAATAACGGGCATTTCTTTCTTTCTCTTCCTTGGTAAATGTCTGATTGACATTTAAGACATGTATGACTCTAGTTTAATGTCTTTGTAACTCACAAGGGAACCATTCCATATATCTAATCGCCTTTTCCTCGAAACATACATGACTAAAGGTAATTTTTCATGCTAATTACGAATCTGGTATTTGTTCGTGCCCATAGAATCTTTCGGAGTAGATTGTCGAAAAACTGATCTTTGGAGACCCATCTTAAAATCCGAGAGGAAGAGATTTTAATTTGTGTGTGTTGTAGAACATGTCGAGTTACCTGTATGGAAAAACCTTCATATAAAGACAGCTGAGTTGAAGGAATTTTACTCTAATAAAAAGCGAAAAGTCAAGGCTCTGCAGTAAATCGAGATGTAAATTCCTTCAATTCAGCTAAAAATGCTGTCTTTATATGAAGGTTTTTCCATACAGGTAACTCGACATGTTCTACAACACACACAAATTAAAATCTCTTCCTCTCGGATTTTAAGATGAGTCTCCAAAGATCAGTTTTTCGACAATCTACTCCGAAAGATCCTATGGGCACGAACAAATACCAGATTCGTAATTAGCATGAAAAATTACCTTTAGTCATGTATGTTTCGAGGAAAAGGCGATTAGATATATGGAATGGTTCCCTCGTGAGTTACAAACAAGACATTAAACTAGAGTCATACATGTCTTAAATGTCAATCAGACATTTGATAAGAGATAAAAATTGATATGGTTGTATTGAAACATTACTTTTCAACATTTTTCTTTATTTTCCAGAGATTATTACTTAAATTACCATTGGGTGCATTTGATGATTTAACACTGAATGAAATCCATCATATTGTCAGTGTAATGTTACGAGATGTCGACGATGATACAGCAGACAGCATGACAGAATCAACGTCAGCGGACACAATTAAACGTCGTCCACTTCCACAAGCTTCCACAGCTAAGCTCAGCTCTGGATCACATCAAAATCATCGTAAAAAACAGCAACAGTCGTCCGCACCAGTCTATGAAAATGTTCTTCGATTAGAGTTTGATTCAAACAATAATTCAACATTAAAACGTTCTAGTATTACGAACACAAATGGTTATCATTCTAATCATAACAGTGAAACATCTTCTAATTTTCGACTTAACAGTGATTCGACCTCTTCAAATAGTAGAGAAAATTTAAATTATGAAGATAACAATGATCAATCATTAACATTGAAACAAACTTCATTATCCACATCGTCACTCAATGACAAAGCAACGTCATCTCAACGTCGACCATTATCAACAAACACCTCATCATCATCTTCAATGACTTCTACTACTTCTACGATAGTGACAACAAATGGTATTCCATCTGTGCCAAAAGTTCATATGGGCGCATGTTTTATGAAGATATTTAATGAATGTCCATTAGAAATACATTCATCCTATTGTTGGATTAACAGTGAAACAAGAGGTAAATCGAGTTTTTGTGTCAGCTTGGCTATCGTTGTATTTTTTCTTCTTATAGATCAAGTTGTACTGATTGCTAGTGAAGAAGGTATATACTCTTTGAATTTAAATGAACTTCATGATGCTACACTTGAATTGGTAAGACATTTTTTAATCATTTCTTATTTAATACCTTTCATATAAAATTAAATATTATTTTTGAAGTTATATCCGCGTCGAACAACATGGTTATTTGTCAAAGATAATATTCTATGGTCTATATCAGGTAAATCTATGGTGTTTTTTTTTAATATTTAAGCAGTGTTCAATTCGTTATCGTTTTCTTGTAAAGGCAAATCGAACACATTGTATAGACATGATTTATTGTTGCTAATGCACAACAAAGGCACAGCACGTTTATCACTACAATTAAATAAAATACAAATACCACAGAAATTTGAAAAATTAATGCCAAAGTACGAAGTTATTTGTCTCATCTCATTTAGTTATGTTATTCATATTTCTTTACTTGGTAGGAAATTAGCAATATCATCTAAAATAAACAATACTCGTGGTTGTCAACGTTGTTGTGTTGGACGTAATCCTTACAATGGTTTCTTTTTCCTCGGTGGTCTACTTCAAAATGAAGTCTTCTTAATGCAGTATTATGATCCATTAAGAAAATTTATGCATTTAAAAGTATATGAGTAGTAGAAATATATTTTTTTTAATATAATATGCAAATGTAATATGTGTTTGTTTCAGAGAATGGATGTATCAATTCCACCTGAACCTCCAATATTTGAAATGTTATTTTCTCATGATCATAGTTACGCACAGTTATGTATCGGTGTAACAAGGAGGTATAAAGTGCAGTACTGATTGTTGTTTATACATTTATACTTGTATTTTTGTTTCTTGTAGTAAATCATCAACAAATACGTTTAAATTCGCTTCGGTTAATTTTGAAACGGAAAAATTAGAAAACTACAATGATGGTAAGATATTTAGTGTCTATTTTATATACATATAGTAAACTCGTGTTGTTCATTCGCATACAGGTTCATTTCTGCCAAATATGTCCCATTTGATACAATTAGAAAAAGATGCCGAGACAGTATTGATTTGTCACGGAAGTACGTTGATCGGTAAAGATAATAATTTTGTTCATAAATATTTTTAATTTATCGTTTTAGATAATATAACAATTGTTAATTCTCAGGGTAGGCCGCGTACGAGTAGACGGCTACTGTCCGAATTACATTTTGATTGCGAAGTTCGTTCGTTAGGTATATGGCACATCTATACTACGTTGGTTTTTGAAATTACAATGTTTTTTCATGTATTTAGTATGTTTACAAGACAGTGTACTCGCATTTCATGAACATGGCATGCAAGGAAGAAGTTTAAAGGATAATGAAGTATGTTGACTGATTAGATATAAAAATCTGCAAGATAGATTCAGCAGATCGCTTGCATGAAAGATAGATGTGGGAATACGAACGTGTTGAAGAAAGTCAATGTACAGAGTAAACATTGTTTGATTTTTCTACGTAGGTCACACAAGAAATCTACGATCATACAAGATCTTTTCGAATTATTGGTAGTGATAAGTAAGAACATTTTTAAAGTAACATTAATCGACTGTAAGAGTTCAGAGATTCTCACATAGTTGCAGTTAATTCATAGTGTATAATAATACCGAGCACTGTTTTCTTCGTTTCTCGATATTAATTTCCACGTCATCTACTCTGATAAAAAATCATCATTTGTATTATTGTCTATTTTTAGATTAATTGTTCTTCAGAGTCGTCCATCAATAGTAAATAATACATCGAACAGTTCTATTTCAATAGCAGCCTCCGCCGTTCAACCATGTGACTTGCATATTCTAATGGGTCATGAAAATACTACTTGAGCCGTATCAAAATATTTTTTCTCTCTATTTATACATTGTTGTCATTCTTATGGTTTTGCCTATTATTTACGCTACTGATGTTTGTGTGTTTTCTACATGTATTTTTTATGCATTCATTCGTAAATTGAAAAAAGTACACTTTCACTTTGCATCTTTCTTGAAAAACAATGATAAGCCGGTATTATCTCTCAAGTCAAGTGTTTTTCATTTTTCTTATTGTTATTCTTTCTTCTTTTCTTGATAACAGTGCATTACACAGGCATTTTTTTTTTGAGCCAATCGTGGATGAATTTTTTTTAGCATAAGTTAATTCTATGAAGTGCACATGTTCTACTGTGTGCATAAAGCATTTTTGTCTATTTTCGCCCAAATGAGAAGATTTGTGTGCTTCTGTGAGTGCAATATAATACACTATTTGTTTGCATGTTTATTCATTTTGTTTCTTCAGATAATTTTATTATTTTTTTGTTATTGTAGCTGTTAATGAATAAAAAACGAATAAATATATGCCCAGGACAGATATAGATATCAATTTTATTATTATAATTTTTTTTCCTTTGTTGCTGTTGTTTCGAGATTTTCGTTTTGTACATTTTTTTTTCTTGAAATTTGCATGCAATTCAATTGCTACTGATGCCGCATTTTTTGACATGTAAGTGCTACTATTGCTACTACTATTAAATACACTATGCGCTATCGTATGGTTCCTTTTTCTGTACTGTTCTCTCTTTCTCTTTTTTTTTTTGTATGAATCCTACAGACTGTTTCGTTTTTGAAGATATTGAGATATAATAATGATTTTGTATAAATTATAATATAATGATAGACAAGTGAAGGACAATAGTTTGTCGAAAACTAGAAGTGGATATCGCCAATAAAATGATTATTCTACTACTACTCTTTTATTGCATGAAAATATCTAATGAGACATTCTCATGATCAGTTCTTTATAAAAAACATAAAAATCATGTGAAACGTACAAATGTACGAATAACGGTTATTCACATAACAATTTAGTATTTCATGGAAAAAATCGAATCAAAGAAAAATGATTTTGTTCTTTTATGATTTATGTTTGATGGTCAAATTCATGGTATAAACCATGAAATTTTCATTATAACAATTGAGTTTTTTGCATTTTTTTCGTAGAGATGGTATCTATCATTACGTAATATATCTATTAAGCAAAAAACATCATAAAAAGGCTATAGAAAAGTGTAGTGGGCGAAACAACATAGTAAAGAGCATCTGTCAAAGCTCATTGTAACACAAAGTTTTAGTAGTAATTTATTGCTGATATATTTATCACTGGAATGACGATAATGTTATAGATATTTTGAATTTTGACGTCAATAATAAACGAACTTGTCCATCTTGTTTCGAGAACATATTTTCTCTATGAATGAGTTATAAAAATGTCTCGAAAAGTTTCTGCTAAGTTAAAAATTGACAACTGTTATTTCTTCAGAAAACTTATAATTGACAATGTTCGACACAAGGAAGTGGTGTATAGGACATAGGAGATCATGTTCCACACGAATTATTTAGGAGAATAGTGGAGGTTTTTACATGTTTGCAATAGCAGCACACGATACACATGGTAGGAGAATACTGAATACTAGATAGAAAAACGTTTTATCAACTTTTTAAAAATGTTGGTATTTGAGAATCAATGGATATTTTCAGTTTGAAGAGGGAGCCGCCATATTATGTCGGCGATATCTGGACAGGACACTTTGTAGCGGTAATTAACCCTTCAGATTAGCTACGAATCCAAGTCAATTTGTCTATCGTTGTCATTTATCTTCCATCAATGGTAAAAATCTCAGCCTGTTGAACCAAGCCATGTCGAAATTTTGTTCTAAAAATTTCTTACAATAGAGAAAAATGGTTGGATAAGTCGTACAAAATATGAGATCATATATTACAGTGGTACTAAGAAACTGTTTCCTAAATAGAATGTTTTTTAAAGTTGATTGATGTCTCATTTTGAAGATAAGACTTGAATCTATCAGACTATGACACTGAAAATAGTTGACTCTCATACAAAGTGTACAAAAGTCCTTTCATGAAGTAAATAATGGTGAATTTCTGAACTGGAATCATACCCATTTTGTAGAGTCTAGTTACTTTTGTTCGATTTACATTGTCTGATAACAATCAATAGATAACAATATTCCAACATATTATCGTTGGTTGAATTGAGTCTGGTCGATAAAAATAGATAATCAATATAAGCAAAGTTTACATATAATTACTCTAATTACTCAACTAACAATAAAACATCTACTACACAACTCGTCTAATAGACATGTCATTTTTACAACAAAATTTCTCCGCCTTCTTCAACATGAACGAAGAGGAAAATAAATCAAGTGTAAACATATAGAGAATAGAAATAAGAGAAATTCTATTGAAGTGAGCACACAACCCGTACTTGTGGCTCTTTCTTCTCATCAAATCCATATAAATAATAATTATAGGTTTATATTATTGAAGGAATCACAGTTCCTAGTTACATGGCACTAGAAAGAACATCCTTTCAAAACAAAAGAGCTAAATATAGAAAGACAAACAGGTGGGCGTTAGTGTATTAATAACACTGATTCATTTTGGTCAATTGATATCTTCACTCTGAACATAGATCATGCTAAATACATCTAATATGAAATTTTGACTAGTGTGCATTAACGAACTGTTTCTCTGCTCTGTTATTACGTTAGCTAGAAAAGAAGACAAGTTATAAACAAGTAAAAAGTAAGCATTGTACTGTTAGATTTTTGTATTACACGTAACTTAACGTATTCTGTGTAACAGGAATGTTAACACTTAAACTTTTTCGATGCTGATTTTTATGAGCTTATTTGACCCTCTATATCTTACTCTGTGCTCAACTCATTGAGATGAAGACTCTATAGTTTGTGTGGAAAAGTCCATAATTTGAACTAAGACATATAAATTTATATATAGAAAAATGTTTTCCACATTGCTTAGAGCTTTCTGTATGACTTTTTTGGTCCATTTATACGATAAAGCCAAATTATCGGCTCATCAATCTTGAATTTTTTAGTACACCAGCTAGTTTATCTCTTTTTTTTCAATATACTCATCATGTTTTACATATATAACGGTGACTAAATCTAGAGTATGTGACATGCTAATTTCGACTTTACATTTATAAAGTAATGATTGTTAGCAAAAACATTTTTCGATGATAAAGATATTTTTTATGCTATAAAATTGAATATGATGAGTTACATATTCCCACCAATTTTCAGACAATACTTTGAAAAAAAGTTGAATCTCAATTCTTATAGATAGAAATGAATGAATGTTCAAATTTAAAAAAAATTTGTAAAATTCAAAAAATATTTAGAATATCATTTATATTCATTCATGCAAAAGAAATTTATATGTTAAAATATATTTTTTCAAATTGTTTAAATTATTTTTTTCATATAAACTTGAGAGATAATGTCCATTGATAAATATAAGATGTTCAACGTTTTTTGACAATGATATTTTTAAATTCATATTATAAAATGATACAAAAATATTTTTTAAGAATAAAGAAAGCATTATGACTATTCTGCTGCTATGTAACCACAATTGAGATAATAATACATTCATTTTATTACTATATTGTAGTGAATTTTCTTTTTTTAGATATAATCAAAGTGATCCAATGTTACATAACTTTGTATTCGGAAATTCGAGGACATATATAAAAAGCATATTGTGTATTATTAAGTATGTACTAGATATTTACATAAATAAAATTTTCTTTTTCTCTCTAAAGTACAAAAATTCTTTAAAAAACAACATCATAGTTAATTTTCATGTTCTCACAATTATTATTATTATTATTATGATGATGATGATTATTATTATGTAAACATCGTCATCGTCACAACTAACACATCTAAAAATTCTATTAAATAGATGATCCATTTTCCATTATTTTTATGCATTAATCTTCTCTATAACCAACGAAGAAAAAAAGAAAAAAAGAAGAAAAGAAAAAGAAAAGAAAAGAGAAAAAGAAACTCATTATTATTTAGAGAGAGTTGATGATAATAATAAATAATTCGAGAGTTATTCAAAAGAGAACTGAGAACATCCGTTTTAAATGTGAGAATGACAAAAGCTTTTTTTGTTATTGTAATAGTTAAATCCATAGTGGATCTTCATTGAAGGATTTAAGCATCAAATTCTTAGTTTTTACCTTGAATAATAAACTTGAACTTAATTATATATTTGTCAGATTATAAATGTTACTTATTTGTTTTTCAATAAAAAAAATAACAACAACTGAATAGATTAACTTCTATATTTTAACATTGAAATTTGATTTTCTATAAACTATTTTGACAAAAATAATTGTATTGTATATTCGATATATAAATATTAATTCAAGTTTATCAAAGTTGAAGATAGAAATTAACAAAAAAATATAAATATATTTGGCTTTTATAGAAAGACAAGACGTTTAACAATAATGAATGTCATCTATATATTTGCATTTTGTAGATAAAACAGATTAATTTAATATGTTTTTATATGGATGAATTGAACTCGTCTAATTATTATTATCAGTTTGATAGAGATATTCAAATTACGTTGACCTTTTCAATTTTTTTTCTTCTTTTTTTTGTTATTATTGAAGTAGAGACAATCTGTTCATGTCACTTAGACATAAACTGAAATTTTAGATTTAAAAGAATTTTGTAAATGTCGATGATGATTTGAAGTATTGTATAAGAAAAATGGCATCTCTATATAGACGATAATAGTGTTAAGTATAGAAAGAGTGAATAATTTAAGTACTAGTCAATACTATATGATGTTATTCTTGTGCATATTGCATCTTCTGTGAGTTTATTATTTTTTTTTTTGAAGTTTAAAAAAACTGAACAATTTCCCCTGTGTAAATGTACACACACATCGTAGTGAACACACCAGATTAATACCTGATAAAAAAGATTTTTTTGTATTTGCTAGGTGCGAAACGTGTCGAGATATATAAAAAACGATTTGCACGGTTCAAACACAAATTTCGTATCCTCATGAGTCATAATGTGTATGGATTATTCTTTTTTTTTTGTGGAAACTATAGAATTTGATCATGTCAAATAAACAAAAGAAGATATATCCTTCTCTCTTTCTCTCCCTCTCTCTTTGAATAAACATTATTTGATGTGTCGTTATGATTATTTACAAATATACATACAAATCTCTTTGAATTTTCTCTATCTTTTAATGAATATTGAAGAGGATCAGCATTTTTTGTTTTTCTCAAGTAATAAATTTCAAATTTACTTTTTATCAACTCGTTATGTATCCATCATTTACGATTCATTGAAAATTCAAGTAGTATTTTAATTATTTTATTTCAACCTCTTTTCAATGATGAATGACAATGTAACGACTCGTTTGAACTCAAGTTCATCATCATCAATTTTTCTATTAAAGTTAATTAGTTTAATTTTAAAATTATAATTATTATCATTGATTTATTTTCAGCAGTCAAGGCGAGAAGAACCTGCTGAGACTAAACGTATACTTTCTACTGATCATAGTAATACAACAAAAAAAAAAACTCATTTCTCTGTAGCTCTCAAACTCCTTTACGAGAACATAGGACAAAGTTTTGATAATATATTGAAATGAGTGAATTATGATTCTATGGTCAAAAAAAAGTTAATTGCTGGTGACACATAATGACACTTTGTTTAGTCTAAAAAAAACGGGCTTTTTTCAAGGATGTTCATTGTCCATCATAACATATGGCTTCATCACTAAAGTACGCGCGACAATAGAATAAATAAACATAATCCTTCTAACGCTTTTAGTTTCCTTTCTCATTATCTGTCAATAATAATCAAAGAAAATACGATCATCTATTAATTTAATCGAGATAGAGATAGAGAGTAGAAGTAGATCCCTTGTGTCCAACGGTTCACTAGAGACTTTCACAAATAAAGAAGTATAGATAAGATATGATGAGAAATAGAATGAAATATGCCAGAGAATTGTACATTATGGACAAGTGACGTGTATATGGCACCTTTTTTTTCTAAATGAAAGATGACGGAATGTTACACACGCAAAGAAAAACGACATGGAACGAGCAGATGCAAAACTCAAATGATGTAATTGAACTTTTAGGTGAAAGAAAATTATTTCAGTTACATTAGTCTACCAGAGAGCAAACTACTTAAATAAATGAATAATGTCCAGAGTTTTAGTTCATACTCTTTCTTAGTTTAAAACGCTATGACATGAATTTTAAATAAAACATTTTTGTGCCCTGAATCTAAAATGGACTCTTGTTTAAAAAAAAAAAGAGAAAAGACAGCAGTATCAGTGATCATTGTCCCTTGTCTACGACTTGTTGTTGATTTTAATTGTGATAAAATTATTGATTGATCTATTATGTTCTCAAAAAGTAGTCAAGATTGCTCACCTACTCTGTACAACATAATTATGATTAGATGTAATTATAGAAAGAAAAATTGTTGTTCACTATAATCTGATAAAATATAACATCTCTCTCACTCATATATTTATATGCTTCTCTTTTATATTTAAACTTTGACAATTGCCATTGTTTCTTTATTAACTCTAATTCACCTCTTCTATTGTATTTAATCGTCTGAGACTTTAATTCATTTAACACAATATTCCATTGTATTCTCTTTCTCTCTCTCTCTCTCTCTTGCACGGACTCTGTGATTCAGAATCAACAAAAAAATGTGTGTCAACGTACGCAACAATTATACGGAAATAGTATGATGCTGATGTATTTCATGCGTAATTTATTTTGAAAAGATGACCTATTCAATACAGTAGGCGCAACAATACTAGTCGCCATATCCGTTTTAAAATAATTGAAGTAAAAGGGTTCGTTACTCTTTTTTTCATAGACTGACTATACAGGATGAACAAGTTAATGTCAGATCATTTCATTGTACGCATGGATATAAAGAATGTTACTTATTTTTATAGTTTCAAGATTTTCATTCTAAATAAAAACTAACATAACATTGAGTAGTTTACTTTCTTGAATACTCAGTAGGACTATGATTTGTTTCCGACGCTTAACATACGCCTATTACTCTTTGTAGTATATCAATGGATTGGATTCTCCTCTCTATTCTTCTTCTTTCTTATAAAAATTACAGACTACATCATTTTTTTTTTGACAATAATGCAAATAACGAAGAAATAAAAACGAACAAAATAGACAACAGTACTTGTCGTAGTATAATCTTATATAGTTTTTATCCAAAAAAACGATTATCATTTTTTTTTTCTTTTTTGTAATAAAAAACAAATGAAAAACAACATGTTTTCAATATATGGCAGTGCACTTTCACTATTTACATGATGAGATTGATGAACTCAAAGAAACCCGAATTCTATAGACACTGTTAAAAAATAAATAAATAAAAAACAATTTGTTCTACTAAATCTTATCAAATTTGAAGAAATCGTGACTGATTGGCTTAATCATATAGTCATAGAAGAGACGATGTACTAACTTTACAAAAAACAATCTTTTTCTTATTATTACTCAAACTAGCGATGAAAATAGATATTGAGTTAAAGCTATAATTTTGCTATATCAACCGTTAATTCTTGTCTCTTAACATTGCCTTAAAGCATCTCAAGTGGTTTTGTACGTTTCCAGTATTGATCAGATAATGGTCGTCGATTTCTGTGCGGCATATTTTTCTTTCTATTTGTTCTGTTTCATAGTTGATGTTAATGGATACCATTAGTGTTGTACGTGTATAGACGTTCAAAATTGAGATTAATCTCTCTTTTATCTGTACAAACACAAGTCCTTGCCAGCTATGCGGTTATATAAATAAAATTGAATCACTGTGTATTATACATTATTGCATGTAGGAAAGAATAATCGATAGACTATAGAGTAGAAAAACATAAAAATTTGAATTTAAAGTCGATGATGATGTTGATGATAACAATGCACTTGTTCGATGATGATCATGTTCACGTTCTATACCTAAAATAAACAGGTAGGCAAAGAGTTAGTGAGAGATTATATACAGGTGTAATTTAATCTATTTAATAGAATACAAACAAATAATGATGATATAATCATACGTGAATTTTTTCAAAGAGGAAAAAAATATCCAAGTGATGTCCTCACATTACAAAATGACATGTATAGAGACAATCATTCTCAATTTCAACATCGTTTATGGATAATTGACTTTTTGTTTGAAAGAACAAATTAAAAAAATTAAAAAATATAATGAGATTAATCTGATACTTGTACGAGACATGAAACAAACTAGTTTACTCTGATCAAGTCTTGAATTTAACACATAAATTTCAAAAGAGTTTGGATTGTTAACTTATTTAGAGAAAATTTTCCATCAAGATGGTATTTCAGCACTCAAAATTGGCTGTCACTGGCACAATCTATCGAAATAAAAATTGTGCTACAGATTCAGATAAAAAGAATATTAAAATTTACTAGTACAAGTTTGAAAAAAGTCACGTGATTCGATTTCAAAATGTGATAAATCCTCAAGTTACAAACGAATTCCGAAATAGCGTACAAGAACGATAGTGGAAGATGAAATAAGGCAGACGCATTGAACAATTGAGTAACTGGTGTGATGCACCCCTCTAGTGCAGTTTATATGGAAATTTGTTCATAGTACCAGAAATCCTGTTGTACGTTTGAACTGTCTGAAACGACTCTGAAGTAATAAACATAGTCTTAGCATGGTCTATGTTTCTCATCAGATCACTCATCAAATATGTGTTTGAAGAGAAATGACTATTTAAACATTTTGTAAGTGATCAAAGAATGTGATTTCAAATAGATTCGGCTTGTCTTATTTCTACATGTGTGTCTATATGATATAATCATTTTTTTCTCTATAAAAAGGCTTTTGACCTGTATACATATTGTTATTATTCTGTGTATGTATATAATAACAATCGTGGATAATGGTTATATATGTTAACAACAAACAATTTAACGGGAATGTTGTAATACGTGATATCTGATAGCAGAGTAACAGCCATCGTAGTTAACAAGATAACAAGAAAATGTAAAACACACAAACCTTTTTTAATATGTAATATGGCACTTCTCCTTTGTCTTTTATAATTACATGTCCATAGTCCACTATGAAATATTTGAGCTTTACGAATAATTAGATGACTTATCGACATGTTATTTTCGTGTTTTGGAGTCGCTATAACATCGTTTAAACGCTCGATACGACTTTCATTAAAACGCCACGTTATCGATGGTGACATTGATAATAACGCTGGTGAAATATTTTGTGGTTCATTGATGTAGACGTTACAATAGAGAGCCACACGTGTCCCCGGTTCCGCGTATAAATTCGATGGATGAATTTCCATTGGAACTAAAACAGAGAGAAATTTGTGTACATACTATTTGTTGGTATCAAAGTGTTTTTACCTTGTACTGTTACTGTTACTTTGCTTGATACACTAACTTTTCTATTATTAATCTTACATTCATACAATCCTTCGTCACTTGTTTGTATCTGATATATTTCCAACGTCCAATAGGTATCGATATCTGACGTTGCATATGACAAAATGGAATAGCGTTTATCAACGGTAAATAGTGTTTGTCCAACAGCTAAAGGTTGAGGAGGCAGATGCAAATTTGTTGAATCGTATTTCAACCATGTAACATGATGTGAGCCCAATTGTGTTACATGACACGTCAGCTGAGCGATATCACTGGTATTAAATGTGAGATTATGTGATTGGGTAAGTATTTTTGGAAAATTATTTAAATCATATGACATTGTTACAGTTAAATAGGCTATAGAAAAGAGAGAAAAATTGAAAGTCAATGATCATGTTGAACGAAAAATGACAGTGAAAGTAGTATGGCACTTATATAGTCTACGAGGAGGGGAGTTTCTGTATAGAAATTATTGCTTTCGATCGTTAGTGAAATAAATGCATCTAGGTGGATAGTAATCTTTAAATTCGTTTTTCAAATGTGATAGGGAAAAAAACATATATTAAAATAAATTTGGAATTCTAATCTAACAAGATTTATTAGCCCAAATATCTGTTCTATGATCAAGAGTGGTTATTTGTATATTTCTTCTTCTTTCATACACAAACGTTTGCTATTGAGCTTATTCTCTCTATCGATAGATCATGCATGAGAAATGAGAATGTTTACTTTGTATTTTAATAATCATGTATTCATCATTACCATTTGTCTGTGCTTTAGAGATGGATTAATCGCCATGATGAGACCTATACACGCTTCTACAAGGGCAGAGAACATTTGACAGTTACGCACTACAGAAACAAAGAGAAGAAAAAAAAACGTATCAACATGAATCGGCTACTTTTATTCTTATGAAGATATTACTGAAGTTAACAAACTGTATATTTCACTTCATATTTGTCATTTTGATATCGAAAAGAATACTGAATTTTTCTTGTACATGAAAATGATATAGCGCACCCAAATTTACATAAAGTTCAAATAGGTCATAGGTAGAACCTTCCTCCCGTTAAACTGGAATGACTTATACCTTTCATTTAAAACATGGTAATGTTTGTTTCCATGGTAAAACCATGTATCATCTTTTAATAGATGATGCGTGATGTTACACGCATAAAAGATAAAGATTTATTTCTTTTTTGTTTTGTGCAAAAACAGATCTAATTTATCTCCATCTGAATGTTAACAAGGCTATAACGTTCATCCTATCTGATCTATGGTGTAAATGTCGTTGTTAATGTTAAAAATATGCTCTTCATCTCATGGTTATTGTTGTTGGTTGGCTCACTAATTGAGATAAATTAGTTACTCACTATAGAAATATCTTTACTGTCACCTGTTTTGAGAAAATATTCTATAATTAACTCAGCGCTCATTGTGCTATTATTATGATTAAATGAATTGATGACAGATATATCTCTATATGTCGCTCGGGAGAGTGTTGAGACAACATTGAACGGCGAGAGAGATATACAACCTCATTTTCCAGTATCAATAAAGTAAACATTTGGATTGAAGAGAAAGAGAGAGAGAGAGAGGGAGAGAAAAAATAATAACAATTCAGATAAATAATTCGAAAATCGGTCTAGCATACCTTTTATTTTACGTCTGTGATTTAGAAAATTTTTAGAATAAAAGGTAAAAACAATAATTTAAATGAGGAACAAAAAACAAAACAATGTTGTTTTTTTCCTCATCCAAATCCCTAAGGGCACTATGTTAGACAAGAAAATTTTTATTATTAAAAAAAAGTGAAGATTTTTCTTTATTTTATCATCCAAATCACGATATAAACTATTTGACAGGAAATAACAAAATATCGATCTGGAACTATATATGAAATCAATTGTGTGTGTGTGTGTATGTGTGTGCGATCAACTCACGAAGATTAAATATGGAGATTCAAAGAAACAAAAAGAAACAAAATTTGAATTTTGACAATAAACATCTGATATGGAATTAATAAAATAATGTTGAAAAAAGAAATAAAAAGAAAAAATTAAATGACTTACTAATAAAATGGAGTAGTTTCAATGTAGTGATAGAACGATAATAATTAAGATGAGCCATAGAGCCAACTATTGATAGAATAATTATCATTTTTTATTAATAAAAGGACAACTAATGATAGCCTTGATGTGAACATCACAGCATGTAATAATTTCTAATTAACGTTTTTCAAATAAGAAAAAATAAAAAATGATCTTCGAGACGTCTTAGATAATAATAAAAGAATTTTGAATTATTATTACATATGCGACAAAACATACACCATCACCTCTGTTTCTCTCGCTCTGTTAAAAACATGTTGATAAATAGAAGAGCGAGAGACTAAGGGAGAGTGAGAGAGAGAGAGAGAGAGAGAGAGAGAGTAGTGTTCATACTCGCTGTAATCGGAAATGAGCATCTATAAAATAGAGAAGAAAAAAAAGTATAGAAAGAGAAAGAGAATAAATGATAATGAAGATAAAGTTAGAGAAGAGAGAGAAAAAAAAATGTTGGATTACGCATTATTATATATATATATGTTCAATATTCTGCGGTTCGTTATGTTTTTTTCTCTTTTCTTTTTCTTGAAGAAGAGGATGATGTAGCAGCAACGTATTGTAACATGATTTTTTTGTTTTGTTTTATCAGAAAAAGAAAATGAGAAAAAAAAAATAAATAAGAAATTAGAGTCGGTCATACATAGGGTTTCATATATTCATTTATTTTATTTTATTTTATTTTTTGCTGTATTGATAATGAAATTATATATTTGATCTATAATTTGTTCTGTTAAAGATTATTATGTATTAATGTGAATGTGCGTGTACAAGACATTAAAGAACTTAAATAAAATAAAATAAATATGGAGAAATTAACTAAAATTCAATAAATAAGAAAATTGTTAATACGATTTAATTGATGAAGAAAAAAATAATAATAATATGACCTTCTAAATAAAAATATCTGCTTAAAAGTTCAATAGACTTGTTCAAGAATGTTGAAATTTTTAAACTTTTTTTTGTTTTTCTACAAAAATTTGATATTAAGTCAAGACATAGTTGATTAATCAACTGTTTATTTAAACAAATCACATATTTTATTGGAAAAATATATTGTTTTCAAGTAGTCTAGAACAATTTATATCATGACATTGAACTAAACATGTATTGATAAGATAGAAAATGATGATAGTATGTCATCCTATCCAAAAAAATGCCTCCACATCCTGACTTCACACGAGAGAAAACTCTTAAAAGTGTTAATGTTATTAGTTTTTTTAATTGTTTTTTTCCTATTTTCTATTGTATGATGATGACAGCTACACCTATATGAAGTTAACTCTTATTCTATTCATTTACATTTGAGTTGACGTCTGGCTTCACTGACGATGTATGGCAGTTATAAGTTTTTATATTTCATATATTTTGAAAAGAGTCAAATTTATTTTATTTTTTTATTTTTTGTTTTATTTAGATTGTCACTTGAACACAGCAACTACTTCTCTCTTCACACTTAAACAAAAAAAAAAAAAAAAAAAAAAAAATTTTGAAAAGATAATGCCCTAAAAAATCAAGATATTTTTTTTTCCCTATTATAATATCAAAAATTGATATACAAATCATTTGAATAAAATATTTTGAAAGAAAAATAAGGCGTCAGAGTGCCAAATAAAATGACAAGAAAAAATGATTAACTGACAATCAAATTTTTTGCGTTATTGTTGTTGTTTTTCTTTTTTACATAAAAATGCTTTTAAATAGATTTTAGAATTGCGATTGACTTTTCTAGTTTTCTAAGTATAAGCAATAACTGTATATATATATATATATATAGTAAGCATATGTTGCCTTGAGCGATGCTCGATGATTGACAAAAATTCATTGTTTCTATTACGTTAAAAATAATACATAAATCGTCCTTTTTCTTCATATATATCAGTTAATTGTACCATATATTATTACAGATGATTGCTCAAAACTATCTCGTAATATGCATATATGACATGATTTTTTATGCAACTGGTGGTGAATAGTATTCGATCTCGATTAATAAATGGTGAATAATTGAAGAAGATCGAAAAGAACTTTTTTGTATATGAAATTGAGCTACTTGTTGTAGATGTGACCTTGGATGGTGTGTACGATCTAAAATATGATTGAACATAATGAAATTTGATCAGACTTGATCATCATATAACTACGAAAGATTTGTTTTCAAAGAATGGAATTAGTGAAATGATGCAATCAGATATAGTTTAATAAGTTTCATATTTTTAAGTTTATAATTTCATAATAACAACATCTGGATATGTGCCAAGAATTAAGTACTAAAAGTTGACATGTAAAATTGAACTATTTTCTCGTTAAATTTATATTAACATAAATTTAATTCTCTATAAAGAACAAAAATTCCTTTTAGATAGTTTTCGTTCATGGTATACAGATAGTCTTTTTCTATATGACACAATTGGTTCACTCCTCATGACTAGTTCCACAATGACACACATACATTGAAATCTAAACCTTGAAGGATTTTTTCTACAATAGAATGAAATAATACAGTCCAAGTACATATGTGTGTTATATAAATGTTTTCAACAAAAAAAAAAACATTGATGATTCAGTAAATAAGAATACTAAAGTTCAAATACTCTTTTTTATAGAGACAATACCATAAAAAATATTATATGAACAAATCACACCTCATATTTCAAATACAATTGATCTCTTTTGTTTATGATGAGTTTTTTTGTTCCATTTAAAACTGAATATTAAGTAAGTGGGTCCATTAAATTTTTCTGTTATTTTAGATAATTTTTATTGTTGTTACATCACCATCATTTCTTAATGTATATTTATCAATTGCTGATTAAAAATCATCAAGATAAGAAAAACCTACATATACATGTTTTTTTATTAGTATATAATTGTCGCTTGTTTGCGAGGTGATTGAACCACTTTGAATCAAAAAACGTACACGTATAACTGTACTTGTAATCCTAACATCATTTTCTTCTTCTCTCTTTCTCTCTCTCTCTCACCTTAAGTGTCATTATACATTCGACTTTTTTTATTACAATATATGCACTTTTTTGATATTCCATATCCTACGAACATCTATATAGAGTGCACTTGTCAAAATGTACAGTTTACAGGTATCTTGCTCAAACAGACACATACACACACACACACGCGTATACGTAATAGATCGAGAGAGAGATATTAATCAATTAGCCTTGTGGAAAGAGAGCCACTAGAGACCAAACACCGGAAGGTATATCTACGAGTGAGCACATGTCTCAATGGATTTCAAGAAGGGTTTTTATTGAGCAAAAACTACAACTATTAATTAAATTCTACAATTTCAACAGAAGAAATATATATGGAAATTTTACCAAATACTGTCTGAAGTTGTCCGACAACTCAAATTTTAAATATTTTATGTATGTTCAAACTAACTATTCAATCAAAAAAAAAGGTTAAGTCAAGGTAAAGATGTAATTTACGCTATAACGTGTGGAAAAAAAAAAGAGGTTTTCTTCTATACTTTTGCTCACCATATATAATGAACTTCTTTTTATCATCAATAATAGATCAATCAAGAAAAGGTCATCGATCGTAATTTTTTTATAACTCGAATGAATAACGCGAACGTCACGAAACACTAAAATTATTATTATGCGACTAAATGTTACTACTAACTTTTCTCATCTTTTTTTGATATTATCAACACGCACGCAGGTCCCTTTTTCTATGCAACGACATTTTAGACAATGACATTTAGAGTTTTATTCATCATTAACACCGTTAGAACATCATAATTTATATAGATATATAGTAGATAATAATTAAACAATTAGTCGGATAAAATTCATTGTTATTTGAATCAGTTCAATAAAAGTGTTTGTCAAATTTTTAGGTTTTAAGCACGCTTTCTATTTTGTATATTGTTGCATTAAAGCTGGAGTGTATATATATATATATATATATATATAATGTTTTTCTTTTTCTTTTAAAGTATTAAGATATAATTATGTAATGTTCAATTAGTTCGGTGTATATATGGTATCAATTCTCTTCGTGATCAACATACATTTGTTTTCCATCTTTTCTCTTCTGTCTCTGTAAGGAATAACCTGCATGTTATTGTTGTTTTTTCAAACGATAACAAAGTGTGCAATTCATTTCTTATCATCATCAGTATACTTCTATAATTCAAACAAGATGAGTAAAGATATATACATAAAATGTGATAAGTGAAATATATCGCAGCCTGAGAGAGAGAAAGAGAGAGAAATGATGTTTTTTTGCATAAATATACAAAAATAATAAACAAAAAGGCTAATTTAAACTTATAGACACTATAGAATATTATACTAATTAGAAGGATATAAAGGATAAAAATTGCTAACACATGTAAATATTTTCATTTTACAGATCCTAGAGTCATGTAGACAAATGATTATACAAACTCTTGTCTGAATAAATTTTTCAATATACATGCGAATAAGTCCAACAGAAGTAAAAGCCTGCAAAAAAAAATATTTATCGATACTCTTTTTGCCTATTATTTAGTTTATCATCAAGCTTGATAGTAGAATTATATCTCTGAAACTGTCCAAAACATGGATTTTTATCATCATCAATGCGATACGGCATACGCCTATGTTGTGCAAATTTGTCTGAAACTATTAGTCAATCTCCACAGAAAAGCTCCACCTCAACGTTCAGTGGTGATCGTATAGTGCTGGCCAAAAGTATGCGAATCTCGTACAGTTCAACAACTATATTCGGTAATAAGTTGAACTTTCGTGTGAATGTAGATATCGTCGTACAATGATCACTCGAGAAGTCTCAGCTCATCTGAGCATATGGTTATTCCCGAACAGGATTGCTAAATCTCTCGATTTTTAGACTTCGTCTTCTCGTGAAAATTCTCCTGATATTAGAAGCTGATTTTTTCTTAGAAAAATGTTGTTAGTACTCTCTGTAAAAAAACATCATAACTGTGATCAGAATTAAAAATTCAGTAGGAGAAAAGAGATTTGAATTTAGTTTGATCTGTTTCAGATGGATAAAACGACTGGAATGTATAGGCGAAACTACGTAACAATATGCGTTTGCGTCCTTCTGAACATAGAAAATTCTATTGTCGATTATTAAGCGTTCTTTAAATTCTAGAACGGTGCTTTTGGTGCGTGAAAATCCGAATCTTCAAGAATTAATAAGTGAGAAAGTGTATACGTGACTTCATAATAAATAGTAAAAAAAAGCCACTCGGTTCTCGATTATGTAGGATATAAAAGTAGCGTGTGATATTTCTGATAAGTTTTAGGCGCGTGTGTATGTGTGTTTAAAACATATAAAAGCATTATAGTTGTCTGAAATAAGGCCTCCGTCATATTTCAATGTTTTTCTGTTAACATATTAATAAAATGAGAAAAAAACAACGAACGCAACAACACCTTTACAATCAAGTCTAGTTTTGCCCTTATTCATGTGTGATGAGAGAGGTCAGAACCTGTTTAAAAGCTAATTACTGCTTGAAAAACCTGTGGTTAGCCTCTTGTTATCAGCAGGGATTCTGCTTAAAAAATACTTTTCTCACATAGTACTTTTTTTTTAACATAGAAATAGAAAAAAACTTGATCTGCTACAATCAGTATATGTGTTCAAATATATTTTGTATGAAGGAATTAATATATTTTAATGTAATTCGTCTGAACGAAAGAGATAATAGAAAAAAACAATCCATTATTCTGTTCTTTTTCCCATATAATGCTCAATGCAGAATAAACGAAATCAAAGATATAATCTAGGCTATATGCCCTTTTTTATCACTTTAATTCATTTATTTAGTTCTGCTGCACGATATCGTATGTGGATACTCACCCTAGTGAAAGAGCAAGAGTTACATGTGCTCAAAGTAGTTATCGTCATTCTGATTAGTTATTTAAATAAATGTTCGCCTATATTATAGCAGATGGCAATTTATATGTGTATTGTATCACTTTTAATGTTGAACGTCCCAAATGTTGTTGCTACTATTGATACATTGGAGTTTTCATTAAAATTGATAAATAACGATTTGCAGAGCGCCATTGATAATTTGACTCTGTCCGATAACGCTAGTTTGAATAAGTCGTCCAGTGCTATTGTTACTAATTCAAATCCAGTTACCAATGACTTAGATATCATTCCAAGTATAGCAGCGTTTAGACATGTGGTTTATGATTTTAAACTTCTAACAAAACCATCTTAACTGTAACCATACTTGATTGTTTTGTGCAATACTGTGTTCTTCACAGCGCTGGCTTGTACCGGGCATTTGTCCTTCTTAAATACTTACAACGTGCATAGATAAACATGAAATAATGAAACAGAATACACGGTTACCACGGATATAAGTACTTTTTACAGTTGATCACACATTTCATAAATTTCTTTTTTCAATTTTATATTTGCTGAATTTTATTTCCTTTTTTGGTAAAACCAGACTGAACAAGTTGATATCAACGACAACTTGCATACGGTAGAAAACCTATGATGCTATCTGTTATGATAAGAAAGACGAAAATTGGTGTTTTTCTGATGCGAGAACCAAATTTGCTCAGAAATGCATAACAAACATTCTTATTCGAGATACGTCTATCTCTCTGAGCTGAAAATTATTTTCTCACATACGCTTGCAAGCGTGCTCAGAAACAAAGATTATTGCACATAAAAATTCAAATAACCACACCATTTAAACGATGACAATTTTCCAGTCGAGCAGCTTTTTTAGGCACCGTCACAGTATATCTCAAACAATTTTTGTACTACAAACTCAAAAAAGAGATCGAACTGAGCTATCAGTACTGTTAATAAGTGTACGAACAAAAAAAAGATCTATTTTTATCTTTATTTTAAGACATATGTTTTATCCACGAGCCAGCATTCGTCCGAGTCCTGTTCTCTTATTACCTGCTTTTCCTTCACAACTGGGATGTCGTTTTGCATTTCCTTTTCAACCATCCTCAATTTCGACAAGTGCTTCAATTCTCAATTTTAACACAAGTGCTAATGCAACATCGTCTAGTTGTAAGTTATAATCTTGTAGCTATCATTAATAAAACAAGATACTTTTTATTTCCGTTTTTTAGTGACAGAAGCCTTACCATTATCAGAACTAGGTCGAGGTAATTATATTGAAAACTTTAAAAACGATCGATTAAATAGTCTTTGTGTTTTGTTTAAGATGACTATTTTTGTGTTGATCCGAGTAGTTTGAGTGTTGAACAGTTGAGTGAATACAAACGAGAAATGACAAAATGTAAATATCCTCTGCAATAAAATTAAAAACAATAAAAACCCTACTCTTTTTTTGTGCCAGTAATTGAAACAGAACAAAATAATCTAGATCGCACATTAATCGATGCAGCAAATAGAATTAATGCATGTAAGACAAAATGAAAAGTAGTTGAACTTTGATTTTTTTTCTTTTCTTTTTTTAAGATCGACAGGGTGTAGTTTTAGCTCAAGAAAGTAGGTATTTTTTTATCACCATCAAAATAGATAAAAACCAATCATTTATCATTTATAGCTATCAAAAATAACAATGCTCATCCAATTGTTGTGCCTCAATCAACATTTTTGCCAAATTTTAGATACGATGCTGATGGTGAAACTTTACTTTTTTTTTAACGACATCTTTCATCTATTAAATGGAAGAAAGACTGTGGATGAAAGAGTGAGATAGCTGTAGTTTTCGCTATTTTGTAGTTCATGCTTTGACGCATCTTTCCACTACTTTTTAGAATATCAGGTTACTAAACAAAACGTTTCTATGAAGATTTGTATGTCTCCAATGTATGTTGATGGTATAAAATGTCTCTTCTTCACATACGCCCATGCACATCCTCTCCATTTATATTGATTTGTGCCAGAGACTATCGCATGGCAACTTTTTTCGCCCTGCCCTGTCAAAAAATTACTCATAAAATCTTTCTGGCCCTGTCCTGTCTGGCTGGATAGGACGCCCTGCAGTGCAAAAGAAAGTTTTTCTCCTTAACCTAGAAGACTTTATCTTCAAGAAACTCATCACAAATACTGGATTTAGTCGGCTGATACTACGTACGATCTCTGATTTGTACGTAGCATCAGCTTTTCTGCGAGTTCCAAGAGTGATATTACGTAATTAGGCGGTCGATCATTTCGACTCTGATGACAATGTTAATTATCAGAAAAAGTAAGAAAATCTACTAAAAGAGAATCGTCAGATAAGCAGGTGAAATACTTAGATCATCTAAAAACTCTAAATTCATCTTTTTTTTCAAAATGGTTTTTTAGAAAAAAACAGTAAATTTTAACGATGAAAATGTTTTGTTTGACAATCTGGTATTTTAAGGAATACGTATCTTCAGGGAGATTCTGAATTCTCGTTGTCGAACTTTGTAGCACAAAATGGCGAAAGTCAAGCTCTCTAGCTCATTCCTATTAGATAACATTCAAATGGCATCCATACATCCATTCTTATTTTAACAGATAATAATAGTAGACATGTATTACATCTTTAGACCCAATTGGCTATGTTGATCCCAAAACATTAAGTATATATCATCTGCAGCTGTGTATGTATCAAAAATCAACAAAAGTCTATCTCCCTATACCTGTTTCCTTTCTAGTCTCTTCTTTTTTTCCATATTTATAGATATTGAAGGAATCAAAGAAGGTAAGATATCAAAATTTGATGATTTAATCTATACGGTCCGGTCCACCGGTTAGCTGTTATACAGTGTGTAACGACTATAGAACGGGACACTGCTATTATTTTCAGAGGACGAAATGAATTTTGAAGAATTCATTCTAGAGCCAAAAAAGGTGGACAACTTTTTACTCTACAAAATCTTCTATATCCGATATCCCACATGCTCCTTCATTATTTGAAAAAGTAATACAGAGTAAGGATAGGTAACAAGTTAAACACTGTATCAAAACTTTAGTGATTTTTCAGTTTTTCTGAAATTTTTTTGAGAGTCATATGGAAACCAAATTGGAAAAAAAGCAAGAAAAAATAATCGGAGAATGCAATGTAAGCAAAAGATAGTTATGGTACTTTTTTAACTAATGAAATAACAACATATGTCGAATATAGGTTTTGTAAACAAAAAACTGTTCCATCTTTTGAGATCTACAACGAATTTTTCCGTCGTTATTTCATCCCTGAAAAACAAAAGTGTTCCATTCTTTATGGATCGCTTGCTATCTCATTGCACTTTTATTCAATTATTTATAGAGATTAATTATGAAGAAAAATTAAGTGATGGATTCAGAAAAGAAGCATCTTCAAGAATAGAAGCATGTGAGTACAGTAATCCTACTATGAATTTCACACTTCCAATTTTCCTTTTACTATATCAGATAAAAATGGAATTCAACGAGCAAATCAAGGTAAAGATCATGTGTTTTTTAGTTTCAAAGATTATATTATTGTTAATTTTAGAGATCAGTTCGAGAAAAATCAAATAGAAGGAGAGAAAACAGCACAATTAGCATCCGTCATTATGTCATTTGTTGACATAATGTGATTCCTAATAAAAACATTATCTCTTATTTTTCATACATATTCTATCAACACTATTCGCTCGTATGTGGTCGAATTCAATGAGACGGCACATACGCGTTCATAAAAATTCAAACAAAGCTTTAATAAGACGAAAAAACAGTAGATTAATTTATAATGGTATTTTTTTGTGAAACAAAGAACAATTTATTAAACCGAACAAAAAAAGAATTTTATTTTTATTGATCTATCCATGCATATTTCATAGAGGCTGCTACAAAAATAAAATAGCAACCAGTACAGTCCATCTATTGTCTCGGGCACTATTTTTTATTGAAAATCTTGTTTAAGGGCCTTTCCCTCTCCCCCCCCCACCTCCCGCCCCAGTTACAGGCATTTTCTCTACATGCGAGTTACACCGGGAGTATTTTCCAAAATTTCTTAATATACTTCAAGCTAAAGAGTTCGCATTTCTTTTATTTTAAACTAGGCACCTAGCTACATGGGCTGACAGACGCCGATTTTTCAATTAGGTCTTAGTCTTTTGTCAAATTGAGAATTTCTAGTAAACCAGGAAGCATTTTTCGGGAAGTGCTTAAGCCATAAGCCGCCGTCTATACCGTCCATTTTCTGAATAATACCGAAATTAATCGAAGTTGTAAAAAGATTTTAATCGGTGTTCGATGTATTCTACTGATACTTACGTTCTTCTATCTCTTGTTTCATTCCATCAAAATCAAGTCGTGATAGCCCTTAAAGCAGTAGAGGATTAGCCGACGGGCATTCGAATATTATCCTCTCCTTTTGCCACTTTTTCGCATATCCATGCTTCGAAAAAGTGGTGGCATCAAAAATGTTACTTGTTTTTCAATACCTTCAAATAGGAAAAAAATAGTCTAAAAAAACGTCTGAAAAGAATCCGATGGTATTTTTTTATTTGTGCTCACATCCTGTTCGTCAATAAATATTTAAATGATTTCTAATGATTATTTCAGGAAAGTCAAGCGTGATCCTTCAGTGCTTAATATTTGTGCGTTCCGAATATTTAACGGTTAACTATGGCAATGTTTTTAGAAACATTTATTTCGTAGTAAAAAGTTGTTCCATTCTAAGAGAAACATCATAAAAATAAAAAAATATCACCATCTGTAGCATAATAAAACAATAAAAGTTTTCTCATACAATCACTCAAGTGAAACTGTTTCTGTCTAACAGATATAGTAAGAAAAAAAACAACACAATACGAGTTCAACGATTAATAAGAGCTAAAGAAAATAACGAGAATTTACTTCAATCTACAATAAGCTTCAGACAACTCGATTATGATTTCAAACAAACAAACAAAGAAACAGATTAACTATCTACACATCGACAAAATTATGATATTTTTGGGACTGGAAGAATGCAAAAGATAAGTACCAATATTTAAGAGAAAACGCAGTACAACACAACTAAAACAGAGAAAAACTATCAATGCTATTATAGAACGAGAAGAAGTTCACAAAAATATATTTATTGTTCTAATCAAATCTGACAGCTAATACAATAAAATGTAGCGAGAAATGGAGAAAGTAAGTAAAATATATTCAATAGAAACACAAAATCTATAGTAAAAAACAAAACTAAGATACGTTTTCAGAAAAAAGAATTATAAAACAAAAAATGAAGTACCGACAACCACAAGCGAAATTTCTTACGTGAAACGTATAAGCCAAAGGGGGTAAGATAGAGCAAGTTTAAAAATAAAGATATTTAAATGTTCAGTAGCCACCAAACAAAATCACCGATGTGTTTAATTGGTACATTGAGTACAGTTCATATCTGATCGACTTTTTAAGACAAATGGAAGAAAAAGAAAATAATGATGTGACGCAAAACTAAATGTAATAGTCAACAAAAAAAAATAACAGTAAAGACAATAGGATAAAAGTAACTTTACGTTAGTCATTTTCATCAGCGCTAAAAAATAACAACACTAAACTATCATTTTTTAATCAAGCCAAATAAATTCATCAGGCTCATCTTTGACTAATACAGATTCTTCTGGTTCAGGCTAAAATTATTTTAAAAAAAGAATCTTATAGAGAACAAGTTACCATATGAAATTTTTCATTTTTCACTTTCTAATGGCATAAGGATTCTAAGAGGTTATGAAAGAATAAGATTGAGCTAAAACAATCCAACAAATATTTTTTCTTTCTTTGCTGTACTCAACACAAGAAACTTATCTATATAATTTATGTGTTGTAAAAATTCTGATAATAGAGGAATTCGGAATTCAACGTTATGAAACAAGCTCGAATAATTACCATATGATGAAAATGTGTGTAGGAAATCGGTGTTGAACATGTAGTTTGTTGAAATTTTGAATTTTCATTTGATGTTGGATTAAGAAAAACCGGTGATGCTAGAAATGAAAGAAAGAACAAATGACTATTGTATAGATCAAATACAAAAATCTTTAGATATTTACTCGGTATTAAGTTTCTCATTCGATCGCCATATTCATGCACATGAGGCATCGATGAAAGAGATGAAAAACTACTATTTTCGTATAATACATTTTCTGAATCTAAGCGAAAACATTAAGCTAGTCATTTGATTGAATGGTTTTTTTTTGCTTATTTATTTACCTAAATCGTTTTCCATTTCATCGATTTGACAATTTTGTTCATCTTCAACTAATTTCAGATTCGTATGTGGACATTTCTAGAATAAAATAAACTTGAGATGGATTGCACAGTTGCTGTGGAACAGACTAGAATCCTTATTTCACATACAGTAGACGTCATAAGTCTCGCACCACTTTTTTATTTTGACTCGTGTATTAAAACTACACAACATTAATTTAATTTGATTATATGTCTGTATAGTAGAGGTCGAGTACTATATATATATATCTGTTTAATATGAAAAATCCTTGAATATAAAATGCAATAAAAAGAGACAAAGTTCAGTCCTAAGGAAAAAATGACATAAAAAAGACGAAATGATAATAAAAATGTTTTGGAAGACATTTTTGTTTTACAATAGGAATTGTTTATACAGATTTTATAAAGCTTTCGACGCCGCATCTTTTGAAAAAAAAATCAGGGTACTACCATTTTCTTAAGCCAAGATACATGCAAAATATAACAGTCTTTCAAATATTTTTATTATGTTAAATACGGTGGGAAGTAGCACTATCATGTATTATTTTTTCATTTCGAGTATGGAAG